AAGTCCCATCGTGCGCTCATTATCCCTGTACACCACATATCACCCTGGGTACTACAGGTCCCAGCATGCCCTCATTGTCCTTGCACACTTCCCCCCATATCACCCAGGGAACTACAAGTTCCAGGATGCATGTGTCCTACAGTAGTTCCCTGGGTGATAAGTGGTGGGTGTACAGGGACAATGAGGACATGCCTTGTAGTTCTCTATGCTATGAGGCTGTATGGATTCCTGTCCTCCTGAAAGTACAAGTAATACAGCGCCATTATAAAACATAGAATAGAACATAGTTGACCTTGAACGTTTCAAGCTAAATTATGTTTTATTCTATGTTTTAAATAATATTGTTAAACAGTAAATATTTATGGGTCTCTTTCCCTTTTAACCCAAAAATGACAGCCGCAGTAAAAAAAAACTAAATAAAACAAACGATATATGTGGTCAAAATAACTAAAAACAAAAATACACCGCGCTATCAACATTTAACCCTTATCCCCAAACCCTGAACAACAAATAATTAGTGACTGTTGAGGGGAGCTAGGGCACTGCACTTTTTTGGCTCACTATTTGCCATAAACACAAGTTGGAGAATTTCATTAGGGAGTTTCTTTTGGCTCCAGTACTGATTGGATTGTGATATATTTACACATTTTTCACATTTAGAAGATTGTTCTATTCACATCTAACTTTGATATAACGCTATTTTATTGATTTGTTTGCATTGTGTTGATATATTTAGTGGTCTTTTTCATATACACTGATTACCGACTATGTGTTGCTTAGGGTTTGGGATAAGGGCTAAATGTTGAGGGGAAATGGTGCAGTGTATTTTTGTTTTCAGAAATAATAATAATAACTCGGGAATGTGTGCTTATTGTAAATATAGAAATGGCAGATACAGTGTGTGTTTAATTACAAAGTGTTATTATTCCTAAATAAAATGTATGTGGACAGGATTAGGTGCCGGAAATCCACCTTTGGGAAGGGCGGTGATGTCTGCAAATTGTGTACTGACAGTGTAGAAACCTTCCACAGGAAAGTTCTCTCTCTTTTATTGACCTGGATTATTATATACAAAATACAGTATATCTATCAGTGATATACAAAACTTCACACAATGCACAGGACACAGAGACATAGGAATTGGGCACTAGGACTTGAAGAAGCTTACAAGCTCACAGAGACACACACACACACACACACACACACATACACACACAATGACACACTGACAAAACACAGTGACACACACACATTCAATAACACACACATACATACATACATACATACAATGACACACACATACAATGACACACTGACAAACACAGTGACACATACAATGACACAGACAAACAGACACACACACAAGTACCTGGAGCTTGGGACCAGGAGGCAGTGAGGACAGAGAGGAGAGAACGGCTCCTTCCACAGTGCAGAGAGTGGGCCCGAGGAGGTAGTGTGAGGCTCCAGAGAAGGCACATGGCGGGGGACAGCTAGAGACACAGTGTAGAATGAGCAGGACCGAAGTCAGCACAGGGGGCGGAGCTGAGATCGTTACAGCAAAAGCCCGGAGCCCCGTCCACTCAACTACATGATTACCGCCGGGTCTGCCTGTTTCAATATTGTGCTCCTCCCGGCCAGCCCGCTTATCGCTGCCCGGCAGCCGGCGCCCCCCTCCATCTGTGCGCCCGGGGCAACGAAAAGAGGTAGGAACATGGCAAACTATACAGAGGCCAGCCCCTCTGAACTGTTTGGCCTAGGGGTGGCAGACCAGCAGTTGGCTGTGCCTCTCAAGTACCATAAGCAATTACTCATGAAATTTGTCTTGCCAGACACTTGGGGATATAAAAGACCAATGCCATCTTGCTTGCAACTTTTACTGGCTATACATGGGAACTCTGGTCCTGTGTAGAGCCAAAGGAAATCTCACCGCTCCAATTCCTTAGCCACCATCAGGACTCCCCAGGTGCTGGTCCAATAGGTGCGTCTCCACCTTAGAATGCAGCAGTATACGAACAGACCGCACTATCCAGAGAATTCCAATATTGCAGACTTTATTAAAACACAGCAAATCCAGTATATCAGTGAAAAAGTGTATAAAGCTACAAATGCCAGCACTGCACACCCCAAACCAACTACAAGCTCTCACGTTTCACCCGAAGGTTTATTCATAGAGGTAACAAATACAGACCAGAATCTCACTTAGGCCCTGTTCACACGACGTCCGTTTTCTGTGCTGACCTGATCCGTACGCTCCTGCACTAAAAATGCATCCCAATGTATCCCCATGTGTTTTATGGGCTACAGTTCTCACGTGCGCAGTCCGTTCAGGTTACGACAGAAAAAATACTGCATGTCACATTTTGTACGGTCAGGAAACGGTCCAAAAACGCGGCAAAAACGCATCCAAAACGCACAGCACTGCGGCTAACATACTGACAGCCCCACTCCAGTATCAAAAACGCATCAAAAACGCGGCAAAACACATAGCAACGCGTCTGCAGATCCGCACCTGATCAGGACCTGAAAATCATGTGAACAGGGCCTTAAATGTGTTCAAAAAACTCCACCTTACACAGGTGCAGGAAGCAATGCTCGCTGATGGATAGGTTAACTCTAAACTGGCTGGTGTATAAGGGTCAGTAGAGCACAAAGAAACTACCAATCCCATCATATATGTTGTAATCTCCATACCAAATGGAGTCAGATGTTTGAACTCAATCTCACCAAACCGCAATCTCCCTGTCAACTGTGCAGGGTGTAAGACGGTGCACAGAAGTGAAATATATAAAATAAAATATCAAATTCTTGCAAATACATACAAATGTACAAGTGTATACACACATAAATAAATACATACATAATGAAATAAACTATAACAAATGAGTGGCTGTATAGACCAAATTATCAGTACTATAAAACACAAAGCTTAATCGCCATGAACATATACACATAAACACATATTTTACAACCACATATTTTACAACCATATCTACAGCCCAATATGTCAAAACAGGAGAAGAATGCCAGTCATTAGTTAAAGGTAAAACCAAAATTGATATGATAATGCATGTAAATAAATAAATCAAAGGTGTATGTAAAAAAACTGCATCCACAGTTCTAAAAAGTGTAAGTGCACGTTAAAAACAATATAAATATAAATCGGAAAAAATAATCAAACTAACCTCTTGATCATTCTACAATGATGATGTATTATCCATACATGAAATATCCAATGTAAAAAACATTCTCAATCTACAATATTATATAAAAAGTAATGTATTGAGATCTCATTAATGGATATACATTGATCATTAGCATAGTCTCCTAAAAATACTATCAATACTATCAATTAAGTAACAGATGATTACTAAAAATCTTTCTTATCATAAAGGTCTTAAAGTCTTACCAATATACTGTTTGTGACAGATGGTACAAGAAATTATACATATAACAAATCGGGTCTGACAATTGACTAGCTGGTTAATTTTAAATGTTGTCCCATTAGAATAAGAAGTCACAAGATGATTATCACCCTAAATACTGCAGCTTGAACATCAGGCTGCATTACATCTGTAGGACAAAGTTCCAGAAGGAAAACCATCACTGCAGCCCTCCACTGATCTTGCCTTTATGGCAGAGTGGCTAGATGGAAGCCTCTCCTCAGTGAAAACACATGAAAATCACTTGGTGTTTGCAAAAAAACACCTGAATGGCTCTCAGACTGTGAGGAACAAGATGTTCTGGTCTGCTGAAACCAAGATTGAACTGTTTGGCCTTAATTCTAAACATCTGGAGGAAACCAGGCACCGCTCATCACCTGCCCAATACCATCCCAACAGTGAAGCATGGTGGTGTAGGGGTGTTTTTCAGCAGCAGGTACTGGGAGACTGGTCAGGGTTGAGGGAATGCTGAAAGGAGCAAAGTACAGAGATATCCTCAATGGAAACCTGTTCCATAGTGCTGAGGACCTCAAACTGGGCCGAAGGTTCACCTTCCAACATGACAACAATCCTAAGCACACAGCCAAGACAACACAGGAGTGGCTTAGGGACAACTCTGTGAATGTCCTAGAGTGGCCCAGCCAGAGCCCTGACTTGAACCCTATTAAACATCTCTGGAGAGACCTGAAAATGGCTGTCCACCGATGGTCCCCATCCAACCTGACTGAGCTTGAGAGGATTTGCAAAGAAGAATGGCAGAAAATCCCCCAATCCAGGTGTGCAAAGCTTGTCGCATCATACCCAAAAATACTTTTGGTTGCAATTGCTGCTAAAGGTGCTTCAACAAAGTTCTGAATAAAGGGTCTGAATACTTATGTGATATTTCAGTTTTTTCTGTTATATAAATTCACACACATTTCTAAAATTCTGTTTTTAGTTTTTCTTTATGATATATTGGAGTTTAACAATTCAGATTATTTTAAATCAATGAAACTAATTAAAATGCCTAATATAATACATACAATTATTTTAAAAAATATAAAAAAGGTGGTAAAAGTCATTTTAGGTTTCGGCCTGAAAAATTCTACTGTGAGCTTGGTTGTAAGTTTGCTGCATATGTGTGTGATATTGCATCGTGTGGCTGTGCCCTTATGTTCTCTGTAATTGCAGTGGGTGGCTGGCCGCCGAGAACAATATGGCCAATCTGCATGCAGATTAATGTCAGTGTGTGGAAGCTATCATATCTGTAATAGGCAGGAAAGATCACATTGCCAGCAACGGACAATTGTGTGTATGGGGTCTATTTGAAAAAAATGCGCAAGGCCATTCGCCCTGTGGAAACATATGCCAAAAGGAACGCTCTTTAATTTTAATTTTTGAATGTTTTCATGTAATATTGTATTATGGCCACTAGATAGAGCTAAAGGAGCCTAGGAAATAAGTATTTATTTTCTATGCTCCTTGGCATAGTACCTCATTACTGACACGGTTTTGTAAGCATAATTTTGCACCTTGCTTAGTGCTTTGTCCTATATAACCTTGTCTGTGTTTTTTTCTTAGTCTTGGTACTTGGGATAACAGTCTTGACCTACCTTCCATCTAATGGAACCATCAGACAGAAAATGAGGTTTTCTTCATAGGTCCAAATCCACAACGAAGTCAGCAAAAATCTGCAGCTGTTAGCTCAAGATTACAACAACAACTTTTCATATTCTGATGGACCCTTATCTTCAGAAAAAAAACAACAGGGCTATTGTTTTTGCTTCAGTGATTATAAGCAAAAGTATATGGTTTTAATCTCCTTTTATTCATAATTCCACTCACAAAAGGGTTGACCATCCAACCAGCAAGAAGGAAGAAGAAAAATAATCTTCCTGTCGGGATATAAATATAATTATAGAAAATATATAACTTCGTTATTTAGCTCTGTTTTATTCCATAAACATTTAACCTGTTTTTGCCTGAAGGACTTTAGCTATGACAGCTAGCCATTAATCAGATACACATAATGTTGTGATATGCACCTTAGCCTTCTACCTGGGCCTTGTCTGTAACTTCAGGTACATATTGATCCAGGCAAATGCTCAAGTTTGTTAGTCTGTACTTCATGAAAAAGCTGTTTGTGTTTATGTAGACATAAAAATAATTGTGTGTGTAGTGTAGAAAAAAATATCTCTCTACAGTGCCTTGCTTCTTTTTTGCTAGGCACTGTACAGATGTTTTCTTCGTATAATATGTTATACACACAAATATTAAAACTTATAAAGAAATGGGAATTTTTTCCATGTGTTGAATTACAAATCCTTTACTGAAATTTTAAAACTTTTAAAGTGTGAAAACCTGAAAGGTATGTCCAGCTAAAAATGTCTCACAGTATTTTAAAAACCACTGCCACCAACCTACTTTTTCTAATATTCTACAATGTGTCGACCTGTTCAGTGTGTATTACGTTTATGCAATCTGACTAAAAAAAGAAAGAAACAAAGTACGGTAGTACTAATGTTCACAGTAAAATTATATTCTTTAGTAACTGACCTTGAAGTGGCACTTAGGCATATCTTTTTCTTTTTAATATTTTGGGTAGTGGGGGAAAGGTCAGAGCCTCTGTTAGATTTTGTTGTGCTATGTCCCTGGTATGGAGGATTTCCCCTTCCATCCCCTCCCTGTGATGGTGGTCACCAAGACAGAAGTTGACAGGAATTAATTTCAAAAAGAACAAGGACAGCAATACAAACACATTAACCAGTTTATGACCAGAGGCTTGAAGCTTAGATGACCAGGCCAAATTTAGAAACTTCAGTATGTTTCAGAATGCATCAGCTAGCTGGACTTGACTAACATGGCTACCTAATTAGTTTTAACAAAAAAAATGAAATAAAAAAAAAAAGAAATATAAGGCTTTTATTTGTTTCCCCATTATATATTCATAAATACCCCATTCATGTTGTTTTACATTAATCTGTTTTTAATTTCATTTTCGCACACTGTAAATCTTTGTAACATTGTATATGCTTCTCTCTTCTTTGCTAAACTGTTGTGAAGAAAGAGAGGGTTTTGCAAACAAACTTCCATGGTGATGTCATGGTGATCACATGATTTGGAACCATGTTGATTGCTTCTCAGTGGCTGGTTACCAAACTAGGAGTACACACGTTTGCACTGCTAATTCTCAGCTGCAACTTAATGAATGTCCTTTTGGCATGGGAAGCTGTGCCTGAAAACATTCTAGAGGCTATAGACTCGGGCAACATTAAAAACCGGCTACAGGTTCTAACCCTTCACTCTATCCTAAACTTTAAAAAAATTTCTGAAGTTACACTTTAGGATTACAAAGATAATTGAGAATGTTATAACCATTATTAAAAATGAAGTGCTTTCATGTAATTGTACCTGGGCATTTCAGAATAAGGTGATTTTGCAGAACCTCAGACTAGTTCTGCCTCATATTTTGTATTGTATGTTATAATTTATAGACATTTTGTGTAGAAAAGCAGGTGAATCTATACTGGATAGGAAAACAATCCAAAGAAGCTCTTGCAAAGAAAATCAAATACTGTACTTACATATTGCTAGTGCAGCCTGTGATAATTTAGCTTTATGTTGTTTTTCTATCTGTTGCATATTCATTTGCATTTTGTATACAATCTGACATAAAATTATAAGATCCTGAAATAAGCAACTGAATACTGGCACCACCCGGGATGATTACACCACTGTCAATTTTTAGCTATGTTTGAAACATTAGAAATCATGTTTTCAACCTTAGAGGCGACCACTAAAAGTAAACCTTTTTATATTTTAGGATAACCAGATAGTTCTTTGTTTTTTTCTGTAGTTTGCATTTTAATGGCAAGGTCACATGTTTACTTTATGTGTAGGCTATTTGAGATGTATATACACTTCTAAAACACTAGAAGCCCCAGCTTTCAATGTTAAAGCTGCACTCTGGTCTGTTAAAAAAAAAAAAAGAAATATGACCACCCCCCGATATAGAATATAATACTTGTTTAGTCTCAAGAGAATCCAATAAAGAGGAAAATTTACCTTATTCCACAGTCCTATGGCAGTAAACGCTCTCGTCTTCTCTCTTGTCTTGCGATGTGACCAGGACCACAATATCATTATATACACTGCCAGACCTGTAGTGGCTGCTGGTCCTGCATTTTACATCATGACATCTGCAAGTGGGGAAATAATAGCTTGCTTCAGAGTACCGGTTGTCACTAGCAGAACCTGCAGGGATGTGGTCTGCATTTAAGGTAAGTAATGCTCTATATTAAAACCCCCTAAACCAGATTTTCCTAAATGACGAACTGCAGTCCGGACACGGACCTGCACTGGGTTATGGCTGTATTACAGTCGATGCTCTAGCCTCCGAGGTAGGTACATCCACTGCCAGCCATAACTCTGTGCAGGTCCCCCTTCCACTTCAGTCAGACCACTGGCATCCGAACAACCAATGTCAGCTGTCCACCTCCTCTGGCTAAGCTAAGACCGCCAGTGGTCCTAGCAACAAGTGACATTGAATGTGTGTTCTTCCATCCTCTCCTGCAGCCTACTCTGTCTCCCAGCTCCCACCCTTGGCCTACTAAATAAAGTAGTAACCTAAGGTATGTGGGTACAATATAAAGGGGCACTCTAAGGGGGACAACCATTGTAAGGGGGCACTCTGATGGGGACAACTAACAATTAGTTGTTCCCATCAGAGTGTCCCCTTACATTGGCTGTCCCCATCACAGTGCCCCCTTAAATTAATTATGAAAGTAAGAGGGCAATCTGATGGGGACAACCAATGTAAGGGGACACTCTCTTTTAGTTGCTCCCATCAGAGTGCCCCCTTACATTAGTTGTATTCAAACCAGATGCGTTAGGGCTGCTCTGATGCTTTTTCCAGCGCAGCCCCAATGCTAGACAGTAATTTGCCTTGTTACAAATGGGCTCAGTTTACATCCTTACTTTGCGGTTGCATGTGATGAAAAAAAGTCCTTCATGCAGGCCGCAACCGCATCACACTGCACTTTGCCCATAGAACTTTTCTCGTGACACCCTAACAAGTTCTAAAAAAAAACACTCTAACAGGTCTAAAAAAAACAGTAAGATGCGCTGGGATCTGTGCATCAGCACTGTGCCTGGGAACACACACCAGCAGCTGTGCATTGTAGTGCAGCTGCTGGTGTGAATGCAGCATAAATGGCGGACCATTCTGTCAGGACTGCAATTCGGACCTCTGCTCCAAGAAAAATTTGCTCACCCAACCTTCTTATATTTTAATTCAATACTCTTGCCCTAGACTAAATGAGAATTACATGCCTTCATATACAGGTGGGGGACACCCACATTTAATTTTTATTTTTTTTATCAGGGCTTTAAATATAGTCTTCAAACGTAAATGGGCACTAAAGAAAAATAAATGCAAAGATATTGTTTGGTGCCTGTATAAAAAAGATTTGATTAACGTAAAGTCAGGGCACTTTCCAGATTGCATTCTTTATGTAACAAGACACAAGGCTAATACCCTAGGAAAGGCTGCTGCCATATTAATCTCTTTTGCTACAGATATTATATATGTATAGAAGTCTAATATGACTGGTCATACAATATCTTAGTATGCCCAAAATAACTCTCAAAGATCCAGTGAAATTGTAGACATAAAATGTAAAAAACATTTGGTCCTATTAAAAAAATGTTGTTTATATTTTTGTATATATACAAAAAGCTGGCATACATAGATATAGCAAATGTGTGTCTCTATATATGTGCTGATTGAATGTCATCACGATTAATGTATAATAATTCATGTCAGATAAGATCTTGCCATGCTGTGCTTTTGTCATTATGCAATGTATCATTCATCTGTGTGTTAAAAATACCAGCCTGTTATTTAGGATCATATGCCATATTTTAGTTTAGAACTAAATGGATCAACCAGTTTGCAAGATGATCTCTGAGAAAAGGAAATATTTCAGTACATATATATATATATACACAGGGAGAACATAATCTCTAGAATAACTGTACAGATATGTGAACTACATGCACTTAATAGCTTTGCCACTCAAATATAAAAGTAGTTTGGTGGCTGCATAACAACTCTTGTCATAACTAAGAAAATCTTTATCAGCCACACCACAGCGTAAACTGCATGGTGTTTCTCCCTGCTATTGACCCAGCTATTTGCACTCATCATGCAGACTTGTGGCTGAAGACCTGCATGGCAGATTTAAATATGGCACTGTGCTGCTGTGTGAAATAAAGAGCAACAGAGTGCATTATTTTATAGTTTAACTCCTCCTCCATTTACTGTCTGTCTTAAAAGAGGTTTAAAATAATCAGATCACATGTATAAAATATTATTTTCTAAGCAAAGTTATGAGTTTTAAAAGATACCTGTAGTGAGAATATTCTTTCCACTTGCTCACTGAAAGAAAACCCTATTGCTCAGTCTTCCTCTCCTTTCCTTTGCATGTCATTGGGAGCTGATTTCTCTTTTTGACTAAGCATGTGATTTTAGGGAGTCTCTACCAAAATAGCTGCACTGTGAAATATCATTCACAAGAATGAGGCAGTAAGGAAAGGTTCAATTATTTTTGTGAGGCCATTAGAAAATCTGAAATGGGGGTCTGCTGCAGTTTAAGACATACATTGGA